GGTTTCAGCTCCAAGGGTAAGGGAAATGAAACAGAAAAATGCCTCCCATTAAGCAAAAGGGATGGAGAGCCCTGTGTAATAGTGCTGTCTGCAGGGGCTTCTTGTTCCGAATTTGCATCCAGCGCGGCCTTGTGCCAGCACCCGGAGGGAGCCGTGCTACAGCGAGATGCACCGTGCGCTGCTGCAGGAGACGGGGACCGGAGGGATGAGCTCCTGGCCCCGCTGCTCTGGGGTGGGGACAACTGCATCTGTCACCCACCCCACGGATGATAGGCAGTGCCCGGGGAGAGGGCAGGCAGATGCCTTCCACGCAGATCCCTGTGATCCCCTGGGCAGGTCCCATGGGGAGACTGGGATGTGGGCTGTCAGGGGTGTAAGGAGCTGCTGGAGGGGGTTTGGTCAGAGCCCACAGCCAGCACTGAGGGTCTCCTGATCACTAGGATGTGGGCAGTGCCAGTGCATCCTCTCGCCCCGTCTGCATCTTCATGGCCCCAGGGGACAGCCCCCAGCAGAGACCCCGACCCCAGCAGGCACCCTGAGCCCAGGCAGGGCTGAGGGTGTTCACCGGGGGATGCTCTTTCTTCCCCCTTTGTTGTTATTTTTTTTAAAAGCTGAAGTAGATGTGATGGGTGTGGGGCAGGAAGAACAAGCTTCGCTCCAGAGCTTTCCAGAGTAATTCATCCTCTGAGAAATTAATTATCAGTGCCAGCACTGCGTTTAATCAGCATCAGTGCCTGTGTGCCTGGGGTCGGAGGGCGTTGCTGCTTCTGCTTCCAGTGGCTCTGGGTTCCTGCTGGTGGGGAGGAGATCTGCTGCTGTCGCTGGAATGGGAGCTGGAAGCAAGGATAGCAGATCGGGCTGGGAGAATGCAGCCCCACAGCAGTGCAAACACCACCGGGGCGGCAGCACCCTGCCATCCCTGTCCGGGGAGGGTGGCTGAGCTGTGACAGGGCAGCCTCTGTGCTGAGGGCAGCCCGGATGCCCACGAGGGAGTCCCAGGGTCCCTGGGAGCAGGAATATAGCTTGGGAGATGGTGGCCTGCAACCCAGCACCCCATCCTGCACCAGGGACAACAACCCCACATGGGCAGCGTGTACATGCATGTGTGTGCAGCACACCAGGAAGGAGGATGTTGTAATGTTTGTTTGCTGGGGGGGACACCGGGGCATCTGTTCCAGCAGAGCTGCCTCTGGCATCCATCTCCCTGACAAATGGTGTTTGGTTTGGTGATAGAGCCTTAATGAAAGCGGTGCCGGCTGCAGGCGCAGGGAGGGGAGCACCTGCCTGAAGGACACTCTGGGAGAGAAAGGAGAAGAAAAGGACAAAAGGACGTTGAACACGGCCCTTGGCAATAGCCAGATGGCTCTCTTGCAGGACCTGTGCCTCGCTGCCTGGCCGGGAGCACCTGGCTCTCTGCAGCCAGCCCTGCATGATGGGGTCTGGGCCACCAGGAGAAGGTGTGCTGCTGGTGGGGGAGAGGTCCTGGGGGTCCCCTTCAGCCTGTTTTCTGGGTGTAAGAAGGTGCTGGCTGGTGTGCAGGGTCAGGCTGGTGCTGGGTGGGTGTTATGGGGCCACGTAGCCCCTGAGCTGGGGGGCAGGAAGCTGGAGGCACTGCCTTTGGGCTGCCACCGCCCCAGGCTGAGAGTCCTGGGCTGTCTGGGATGATGTTGTCCCAGCAGGGCCAGGACACAGGGTGTCTGTGGCTGGACAGATGGACATGTCTCTATTATGCAGCACCAGCAGCTCCAGGTGCAGCAGTGCCACTCCAGTGCCTGGGGGACACTGAAGCCCTGGGGCCAGCAGGACCATGGCTAAGGGTGGACTTTTTGGAGATGAGGGGTGATGGTTGGTTTTGGTGACCTCAGGGACTGCTGCCTTGGGGGAGGTCCCTTGATTTGGGGACATGTTTCTGTCATACCTGTGCCCTCTAGTGGTTTTGTCCCCTCTCCAGTCCCATGGCCACCATCTCATGGTGGCCCAGGTCAGCCTGGCCCTGCGCCTCCGGCACTGCCAGCCTTGGCATTCACGGGCCGTGGGGAAACTCTGGGGAGAAGGGCTTGGGTCAGGCCAGGAGGGCACATCGACACCGTGTGATGCTGTCCCCATAGTCATCTCCTTCAGGAATGCTTCTCCATGGTTTCAAGATGGTTTGGCACGGAAACGTAATTTTTAGATCTGGGGGCAGGCAATGGATCCCAAAACCTTTCCAGAGGCTTGACTCCCCAGCTAAAACTGTTGGGTGAGTGACCCCAATATGCATTATATTCCAGAAAATCAAATCTTGAGATTTCTAACACAAAGTTTCTAATTTTTTCACTGCTTGGGGCTGTTTGTTACCTTTCTGTCTCCTCTGCATTTCATCACATGATAGCCTGAAAAAAAACCCACCGCACTTTTTTTCTCATTCTACTGATGTTTCTCTTTTTTTCTAAAAGAAATAAAATGCTCATTCACCTCCAGCCTATGGCAGCCACTGCTTCTCAGCTGCGCTCCTTGGGGAGGGGATGCCTGGATGCCCTGCAGCTGCTCCTGCCTCCTGTGTACCTCTACCCTTTCCTGTGTCTCCTCTCTGCATGTTTTTGGACCCTACCCAGAGGTGTGGCAAGGATCAGAAAGGCGGTTTGGTGGGAGAAGCCCAGCCAGGCACCGTGGGTCCCCAGGGTGGGTGGTAGAGCAGGGTGAGGATGGGGTCCCCTATATGAGGGCAGTGCAAGCTCCTGTGATCCCTGCAGGGACAGGAGCATGGGGGTGTTCCCGTGAATTTGGCAGCCCTCCCTGTCTGTGCTGCCACTGCTAGCAGGGGGATATTTCCTATCTGAGAAAGCAGATGTTGGTTAGGAGCTTCCTAGGCAGTTTCTCTTTCCTCCCAGAATTACTGCTTGGAGAGAGAATATCAATTCTCTTTTGTTGTCGATTTAGGGGAGAACAAAACCAAATGTCACCTGGAGAAGTTCCTGTCACTGCGCCCCCAAGGGCTGGAACTGTGGCCTCAGAACAGGGATTAGCCCATCACTGAGAAAGCCTATCCATGTGGGATTAGCTTGTAAGGTGGCTGCGGTGACAGCAGGGACCTGGAGCAGCAGCTTCATCCTGTGCTTCCACTGAGCCAGGCCATCCCCAAGGCCTCTGGACCGGCCCATGCACTGAGCGGTGTCAGGCCTCTGCCAGCCTGGTGAGGGGCTCGGGGGCAGCAATGCTGCAGACAGCAACTGCCACAGATGTTCTGCATTTTGGATTTTTGCCCCCTTCCAGCCTCGTTAGTATTGAAATTAAAAGCAAGTGTTTGTGAATTGGTAGCTGTTCTCCAAGACCCTAATTAGCAAATCTCTTCATCCCCCGGGGCTGCAATCTAATAATCAAAAAAAACCCAACACCCAAACAAGCCCCAAACCTTGTTTGATGGATCGGGAGTGCTACTGGAACAGTCGGAAGCAACTCTTCCTGCTTAGTATGGTAATTAAACACTTCAATTGCAATTATTTTTGCAATTAGATAAGTCTCTAATTGTTATCATAGGTGGCAGGGGTTTGGGTGTGTGTTTGCCAGTTTTTTCTTCCTGAGCTGGAGTGAAGTGTGGATGCTACGGGCGATTCAAGGCCTGCTCTTGCCTTGCCTGTCTTGTTTGGATGAGTCCTCTGCACGCTTGGCCGTGGGGGCTTGTTTCCTGCCTCTTTGCGAAGGAAAGTGCCGGTGAGGTCATTTCTCCTTCTGCTGGGGGGTGCTCACCTCAGGGGTCTCGTGGCATCGCTGTCCCCAGGCCACGCGAGGGAGGACCTGGGAAGGGACCTTGCCAGGGCATCACCTTGCTGCAGGTGTCTCCCTGACCACGGACGCTTTGGTGGGCTCAGCGCTGCCCGGGCTGGGGCACTGGGGCTGCAGCCCACCCCCCCCCCCCCCACCCCCGGCCCTCCTTGGTCTCTGGAAGCCATTTGCTCTTTGCAACTGGAAGGGCCAAATCCACAGAGGTGCAAGCGGTTAAGTGCTGAAACTAAACGCTGTGGTTGATCTGGGGGTGGGGTGGGGGAGCGGAGCGGGGTCCTGTGTGCCGGGTCGGAGGGGAGCCCCGCCCGCGCCGTGGGTGTTTCGGGACGCCCGATCCCGTGTGTCCGTGGGTGAAGCCCCGTGGCGTGGCGGTGAGGGTGGGGGCCGGTCGGAGCCCGGCAGCAAGCAGGGGGAGCTCCGAGCCTGCGCGGCCGCCTCGCCGGCCCCCGCAAGGCGTGGGGCGGCGCGGCTCGGCGTGGGACCGCGCCGTGGGGCCCGGCGGGGCGGCAGCAGCGCGGCGAGGGGTGCGAGCTCAGGGTGTCCCCTGCTCCCCCGGGTCCTGACACGCACCCAGCGGGTGTCAGGCACCCCGGCCTGGCTCCCTGTAGGGAGCCCCTTCCAGGTCCCCCCCCCCCCCCCCACCCGCCGGGAGCCCCCCCGAAGTTCAGGGCAGGGGTGTCCCGGAGCAGCTGGATGGGCACCTGAGACCCAGCTCTGCCCTCACCCATTCCCCATCCCAGGGCAGAGCCGTGGCACACACGAAGCCAGCTGGACTGGGGGCTCAGCACCCTCCCTTCCCCGGGGGGGATCCTGCAAACGGGTGTGCCTGTCCCCCACTGCACCCCGGGGATGCTCTGGGGTGCAGAACAAGCACGCTGTACCTGAGGATGATGTGAGTCAGGCTTATTCCAGGAGGAAAACTTCTGCCCCGCAGCACAGCAAGGGATCCTTTTTTGTTCCTGTCCTACCTTGTCCTCACTGCCTGCTGTTCCCTTCTTCCCACCAGCTCAGGAACCAGGAGGGGGAAATCATCCAGCTGGTCCCACAGGGCAAGGTGCTCTTTGGGGGGATGTGTGTGGGGGGTGTGTGTGTCAGCCCTGCCCAGGGTGGCTGCAACTAGTGTCCTGGGGGCTTGTGCTGTGTGTGTCCTGGCTCTGGGACAGCAGGGTATAGGGGAACGGGGAGGCTTCTCCCAGGACAGAGCATGCCTGAATAAATCAACCATCTAATTTTCCCTCTGTATTAAATAAATTTTTATACCACTGATGACTTCTGCACAGGCTCGGTGCAGAAACATCCTGTTTGGTAGTCTTAGTGTTGTGCTGCCCGGGGAGGGCAGAGTCTGGGGACAAACCCCAGCTACTTAGTGTCTCCTCATGGCCCAGCCAGGCTGCAGGGGCTTTCCCTTTCTTGCAGTGGGGCTGGGGAGTGTGAAGCAGACACAGAGAGCATGGACTGTCCTGTTAACACCAAAACCTTCCCAATGTGGGAGGCAGTCTTGCCCTGGCACGGATGCTGGAGGACTGGGTGTTCTGTGCATGGACATCTGGCACTCCTGGCTGCCAACATCCACCATGCCCAGCCCTCCTGCCACATCACCCCCGCCTCTGCCAGGATCCTTGCACCTGAAGGGTAGATACATTTTTTGGACAGGGTACCAGGGAGAGTAGTGCCTGTGTTCCCCTTCTCCATCCTAGGCTGGTTTGTCAGGCACAAGACCTTGACCATAGCCCCTTTTTCCCCCTGCCCTGTGCCCCCTCAGCCTGACCCACTGCCCTGGGCCTGGGGAGGGCACCCCCATCCCAGCCCTGCTGGGGGCACATACTGGCTCCCAACCCAGCTCCTCAGGCACCACTGCCCACTGGTGTGGTCTTCAACTCTGGAGGCGTCACGGCCCCAACGGGGCAGGGGAGAGGCTCCTCTGCAGCTCCTCCGTGGGCTCTTCAAACACACCATCCTCCTGGGAAGAAACTTGGTCAGGCAAAGGCCTCTCCAGCAGTGCTTGGGGATGGAGCAAATGCCACGTTCCAGAGCAGGGATCCTGCAGGACAGAGAGGGGGTTCAACAGCTTTGCAGAGTGCAGGTGGCTCCCTTCTCCACCCCCTTTTCTTGCTCCCCAGTGTAAGGGATGCAGCATTAAGCACCTGCTGTGCCTGAGAGGGACTGTGGTGTGATGCTGAGGATGCTCTCAGCAGAGCATGGTTTATGCTGAGTGCTGACATTTGGAGAGAGCTGAGCAGGCTCACGTCAGCCCAGGACCCATCATCTGACATCCCTCTGAGTAGCATCGCTTTGCTTTGTGGCTTTCTCTGCCTGTTCTTCCCATCTGCTTGGGCCAGCCAGCCGTGGCGGGGTTGTCACCTCTGCAAATAGGTTGATAAAAGGTGTCCTGAGGCTACTGGTGCTCTGCTTCTAGATGCTTCTTCTCACATGGCCCCTCTCTCTGTCACTGCATGTGGGTTGGGGACTTTCAGGCGGGTGCCCCATGTGAAGTGACATTTCCTGTTTCCACCTCCACGGTGCAGAGAGGAAATCTGTGACCACACCAGAACCTCAGATCTCCTGCAAACCTCTCCCGCAGACTGACTTTGCTTTATTCTGCTGATTAGATTAGCAGGCTCTCAGGGGATGGCTGATGTTTTGCCTTTACCTCATGGAAACTAAATGTGTTTCAGAACATATGTGCAACACAGAGCAGGAAAGGATGAAGCAGAAGAGCTGCAATTGGTGTCCCTTCCGCCCCTGCTGTGGGGCAATGACGGCAGCAGAGATGACTCTGCCTTGCACCTGCACTGCTGAGGGTGAGCACCATGTCTGCCCTGGGGTGGTTCACTGTGAGCTGTTGTGCCCTACAGGCTCTGGGTTTCATGCTGTTCCCTTTCATGGGGCAGTGCTGGGGGCTGTGGTGATGCCCCCATGGCAGTGCTCCCCCAGGAAGCAGCCTGCGCACTGCAACCTCCCTGCTGAGCGATGCTTGGGCCTTGGTATGTCGCTTATCTTGGGGGACTTGCAGCCCAGTGGGGCCTGACTGGGGTCGTGGGGACTTCGCTGTCCTGCCCTACTCCTGCCACCTTGCTTTCCAAGCTTCTGTTTCGCCTCCTGACAGGCAATGGCATTTCCAGGGTGATTCACGGGGAGTCCTTCTGAGAGGTGCAGGCTGGTACTGTGACCCAGGGTGGGGGGCCCTGGGCTCTCCTGCAGCAGCCCCAGCTGCACGTGTGCACAGGCTCTCCGTGACCTTGGTTAAGGTTAGCAGTGCTCAGTGAACAGCAGGGACAAGTGTACCTAGCTTCCAGCACGTGGGTGACTGTATTTTCCTCTCCAGGGCACAGTCAATATGGGAGAGCCCAGGTTATCGGCGTGCAGCATTGGAGGGAGAGCCTGTGGAGGTCAGGGTGACCTTGTCTGGCTCTTCCTGAGAAGGGCTGCACAAAGTGGCTCTCTGGAGCCAAGAGGCATTCCCATGCACAGCAGCCATGCCCTCCAGCCCAGCACTACTGGGAGAGAGCGGCAATGCCTGGTGCAGCACCAGCCCCTCACCCCAGCAGCCCTGAAAAAGCTGCTGGCAATTTATGTGGTGCTGATGTAGGCTTGCATGAAAATGAAGCACGCTGAAAATCCATGGTCTGAACACAGCTGCCTCTGCAGTGTGTGGAGGGACAGGCAGGATGCAGGCATCTTCCAGGGCAGGTGCTGGAGAGAGGAGTGAGGATGCACCTCTGATGGTATCGCCCTCTGCACCAAGTACCATCAGGGTGGGATAGCTGGACCAGGAAAAATACAGCAGGTGCCACATCAGGCAGAGCTGCCCCTTCCCTTCATTTGCACCCAGCAACCCCAGCCCCATACTCACCCTGCAGCCCTTGCCTCTGCTGTTAAGTTTCTCCCTGAGGAAAAGTAAGTGTTGTCCTTTCAACCTCACAAGCTTCTGGAAGAGGACAGCCAGGAGTTGAAGGCTGGGAGTTGTGGCTCCCAGGGCAGTGGGCTGGCTGAGACTCACGGGAAAGCTCTGGCGCTGCAAAGGGTTAAGTGGCACAGGAAGACAGAAAGAAAAGAGAGAAAAAGATCAGTTGGTCAGTGCCAGCCTGGGTAAGCCTGGCTTTGCTCTGTGGAGCACCAGGTACTGCCTGCCTGATGTCTGCCCCCTGAGGCCAGCAGGGTGGGACAGGCACATTGTGACTGGGACAGGGACCCTTTCCTATGGGAACTGGCTTCTCTCTGCCCATATACTGTGGTCACGGTCTTGCCCCAAGCTGCCCTGAGCACGGCTGATGTGCGCAAGAGAGTGATCCAGAGCCACTGGCTCAGCTCTGGAGTTTTCTGCCTGATACCTCCCCGTTAGTGCTAAATGCTCCTTCTCTCAGGCTTTTCATTTCTCTGAACCTCAAGGACTGGTATGACAACCTACAGCCATGCCTGCTGCTCGGCACGCTCCTCTTGAGTCCTGTCCCTCTGCAGTAAAGCAGGTTCCTGAAGTCCATCAGGTGTTGTGCGTACAAGTAGTGCTCTCCTTTACTGGTTTTCTGTCAAGTGAATTGCCTTGCCTTTCTGGTGCCTGATGGGGAGGCAGAAGCCACTGTCTTCCCTTGCATCCCTTCTTGGCCTTGTGCTTTCTACCCTACCTAGTCCTCAGCCATGGAAATGCCTTCAGCCCTTTAATAGCTGCAGTGTTCCCATGGCCTTTTGATTTCCAAAGCAGAGCTGACTGACACCCCTGAGACCAGCCGCAGTTTTTCAGTATTCCCACTCTTGTTTGATGGTCTTTTCTTTATGTGTCATAACTGGAAAGAATATTGTTATTAAGGGCAACAATTCAAAATACTGCTGGTTGCTCCTTCCCCTGAATGATCCTATGGAGCTGCTCTGAGAAGAGCTTTTCTGAGCTCTGGCCCTTTTTATCTGGGGAGTTGTGAGTTTGTGGAATGATTAGTGTTGGTCTTTTTCTGTTAATGTGGCTGGGGCAGATGACTGGAGAGACTACGCAGAAGGAAATAGGGGAGAGGAACCAGCTTGGTTCGTGCTTGGGGTGAAACTGGCTGCCAGGCTTTTGGTGTACAGGTAAATCCTGTGCCCACCTGTTTGGTGTGGTATTAGTTGATCCATATTATCTGACAACAGCAGATGCTTATATATCTGACTGTGGAAAAAAGGGTTGGAAGGGGCCCCATGCGATCCTTGGTACATACTACTTGTGCAAGCGAGCAGGCTAAGCGAAACAGAGAAAGTAAAAGCGTTAACCGATCAGTTGGCGCTCAAGCAACTCTTATCTGATGGCAAGCAGCAACCACAGCTGTGGTGCTTTGTAGGATGGGAAGGAGATCTCTGGATTTAGAAAGGTCAAGAAACATCCCCGTGCTTGAATCTTCCTCTCTTGCTTCCCCACAGTTCCCATGTCTCGTGTATTTGTGCTGTTGTGACACCGGCTGCCGCTTGCCCTCTTCCCTCTAACTTCCTGCACTCTTGGAAGCAAATCCAGATGGGAGACTCATTGGGGGTTGATTTTAGCAGTGGGGGAGCTTTACCCCGCAGGGGTGAGCACAGTCTGGAGCCACGTGCAGGGTAATTGTGTTGGGGCTTTTGCCAAGCCCCACTGACACTGGGCACCCACATGCTGAGAGGTTGAAGATGGAGGTCCCCTGGCTGCCGTTGACCCCAGCGTGGACTTTGGATGCAACTCCTATTGCACTCTGCTGTTCTCCCAGGGGAAGAACCCTATCTATGTGGGAAAGCTGGGAGGGGGAAATCCAGGTCAGTGACCCTGACCTCTGCCTGGGGAACAGAAACCTATTTTTCTTCCCCTTTTCTTTCCTACTGTCTCATTATTTTCTCTTTCTGGTAAAATGGCAATCTGAGAAGTCATTGATGGTTTTCTTCTCTCTCTCTCGGCTGCGTAGGGAAGCCCTGCCTGCCTGTTCCCCTTTGCCAGCTCTCCCCGGCCGGCATGCAGAGCCCCAGTGCATGAGCTACTGGTTTTCCCAGGAGCTGCACTTTTGTGTGAGTAAACAGCACAGCTCTTTCTTTGTCTCTGTAAGTTTGTAGAAGCATCTCTACCACACCAGGCGCATGCTCTCCATGTTTTTATATACAAACTGCAACTACGTTTACCAAATGCTATACCTTTGCACTCTATTAGTTCTTCGGAAACTGAAAAGGCAGCCCCGGGAGCTGTGTTCTTGTATTTGCTTGCACTCATCCATCCCTCTGTGTCTCTGGGGGCAGACTCCCCTGCCCCAAGCTGCCCCTCTGCCTTGCATAAAATCACACCTGAGCCCCGGGGGAGGCACGATGCTGGCTGAGCCTTTTGGATAGCTCTGCCCTTGGGTTTACCTCCCTATGGTGTGGTGGCTTGAGATCGTGTTTCTGGGACAGAATCAAGGGCAGGTGCCACAGGAGAGCATGAGTGCGGCTTCTTTGCTGGCACGCTGGGAACAGGGAGTCAAAGGACTCCTTATCTATGGATGGAAAGTTTCTGGGCTGCTTATCAGGCACTGCCTAGAAGTTAGATTAAAGTCTTGGGAACAGCAGTTTGCACGGTGGCAGATAGTGTGCTTCTCTATTCTCCTTATGCTCAGGTGGGTGAACGCCTCTGAGCAAGGCTGTGGGTGAGTGGCCCAGCCCTTCAGGGATGTGGATGCCCAGGGGCAGGACTGGTGCCACAGCCTGGCACAGAGCTCACCTGCCTTGCATCCATCCTGCTCCCTCACTGCACCTGCAACCCTCCAAGGTGCCTGACCCCCATGACATGCTTGGGGTGATGCAGAGGGAATTTTTGGCTCTAACTTTACATGGATATTTGTATTTCTAAAAACATTTGCCAACCTAATTTTGGCTATTTTTGCTCCTTTCCAGAGATGGGAAGGGAACTTGCTGTTGGCTGAATTCATTGCTGACGCAAGCTGACAGCCAAAATGCTGAGGGTGTGTGGCTTAGCTGGGAAGGGAAACTGCTGAGCTGATCTTCAGGGGACTGGGGACCCAGATCTTGGCTCCTGCAGGGACTCACTGTGGGTGACCTAACTCTGTGCTCCAGGGTTAACACCCTGTTGCCTTTCCTGTGCCTGGTGGTCACCTTTCCCAAGCCCCCTGCATCTCTGCTGTGTACCCAGGCTTTGCTGGCTACCTGCCATGGGAGAGCAGGACATGGCTGGTTTTGGGGAGCAGCCCCAGCTAATGGCTGCATGCCATGCTGTACAGCAAATTCTGAATGGCAAAACTGTCCTCATTAGCCAGAAAAGCCAGGGACATTTTGTGTTCCCTGTGAGTGGGTGGCAATTGCAGGGGTGGCCAGCCATATGTGAAGCTGGAGTAGCTGGACCTGCGCTCCCAGCATGGGGGGACGCGAGCTGGGTCCCTCCTGGTGGTGATGCATTTCTGAGTGGCTGCAAAGAGCAAGAGTTGCCTGGCCAAGGATCTCCTCCCGGGGCATCGGCTCGTTGCTTAAAAGGTCATGGACACGGTGGTGTCCCCAACTCTGCCTCCCCCTCTGGGGATGGACCTACCATCAAAGCCCCGTGTGTAAGAAAGCTCTTACCTCTCGAGGGCTCTGTCGGTCAGCAAGTTCCCCTTCCCATTTCTTGTTTCCAGTTTCAGGGGTTTACCCTCCTGCCCGCCCTGGTCCTGCCTGCAGCTCCTGCCTCTGGACTGGGCCTTCTGGACAGGGGGCTGGTGGGAGCTCCTGGGGTCCCCAGTCCTCCAGCAGTGAAGCAAGTGCTGGTATGCCACCCGGAAATCCCTGTTGAGTGTTCCATAGAGGATGGGGTTCAGGGCTGAGTTGGCATAACCCAGCCAGAGGACGATGGACATGGGTGTGCCTTTCACACTGCTGTCCCCCCACATCCCCCGGTAAGTGAACACTGTGAAATAGGGGAACCAGCACACAATGAATGCTCCCAACACCACCGCCAGCGTCACGGTGGCTTTGTGCTCTTTCACCATGGGTGGCATGGGGGTCTTGCTGCAGCACCATGTGTGGTTTATCCTCTTGGCTTGCTCCCTTGCTATCTTAAATATCTGGTAGTAGGTGATGCACATGATGACCAAAGGGATGTAGAAAGTGAGCAAGGCGTCCACTAGCCCGTACACAGGGTTCACCTCTAGCGTGCACTCCTTGTTGCAGTTAGGGATTGTGTTTTGGACTGCTGTCCCATTGGTGTTCCAGCCCAGGTGGATAGGTAGGAAGGAGACCATCAGTGAAACGGTCCAAATAACAACTAAGCCCACAGCCACCCGGGAGTGAGTGACTAGCTGGCTGTAGCGGAGTGGGGTGGTGACGGCAAAGTAGCGGTCCAGGCTGATCATGAAGAGGTTGAGGATGGAAGCTGTGCACAGCATGACGTCCAGGCTGGTGTAGATATTGCACAAAATGCTGCCAAAGGGCCACTCTTTGGTGAGTTCATAGAAGGCAGAGAATGGCAGCACCAGGAGGCCCAGCAGCAGGTCGGTGATGGCCAAGGAGACGATGATGCAGTTCGTCAAGCTGCGGAGCCGGCGGTCAAGGGTGACAGCCAGGCAGACGATGATGTTACCACAGAGAGTGATCACGATGAGGATGGCGAGGCAGGACCCAACCAGCAGCTGTAGGGGCAAATCCATCCTTTTTTCAGAGCTTGTATGGTTGTAACATGGATCCATAGCGCAGTCACATGGATGGAGCAGTCCTGCTCTCACTGGTTTCAAAGCTACTTGGAGTGACCCTTTACCAGGCAGCCCTAGAGCCCCTTCCAAAGTGACCTTGGGCCTACAGTGACCTTGGAGAACATTGCAGAATCACTTCATGTGTTCAGCTTTGTATGCTTGGAATGACACGGTCTAGGGAAAGATGCGGCCTTGTGACTCACTGGTGTCTGTTGGCCCCACCTGGGAGCTCAGTGCTGGAGCTGATTCCCCATGGCAGCTGCCGGCGGGTCTCAGCTGCTCCCTTTTCCCCTCCTGCCTTTGCCTCTCCTCTGAGCCACCATGGGGTCAGGTCCTGCAGGGTCTTACATGCTCTGCATATTTGGTTGGTGACAGCAGTCAGCTATGCTTCAGCAGGGATGGAGCTTCCACACCTCCCAAGACCAACCTGCAAAGAAAACACCAACCGAGAGCTGCAGTGGGCAAAGGTCCTTTGAGCTGCCCCTCTAACCCCTCCAGAAACAGGGCATCTGTACCTCCCTGGATACTCCAGCCCACTTAAACCTGAATTTGGAAGTCCCTTGGCAGCCAGGCTCATGTGTTCCTGTCAGCTGGCCTCCCCCAGGCTCAGGAGTGCCCATGTAACGTAGGGACCTTGAGAGATGGGCAGGGATTTTGAAGGCACTAAGTTTGTACACGCTTACGATAAAAATGATAAAAGTGGAAGGATATGATGAAAGAGTTTTCCTGAGAAATCAGGGTGCTTTTCTTATGCAATCTAGCAAAATTAGTCACCACTACATAATTTCTGAAGCTTGGCTGTGGCTCTGTCTCGTTAAACTTTGCCTTTGTATCTGCACTTTGCAGCAACCCATGCCTTGTGTTGGTCACTACTGGAAGCAATCACGCTGGTTCCTGTGGCCTGCAGAGAAAATCTGTGCTCAGCTCAGGGCCCTGGGAGGAAAGAGGAATGCATCTGTCAGTGGTGAAATGTCCTGGGGAGAAGGTGGCTGGAAAGGGCTCTGACAGCTTCATCAGTCCCATTCTTAGCAGCTGAAGGGCAGTGTGGAAGTTTGTTTTTCAGGGAGAGTTTGGAAGGAGTTACTCCTGCTGTGGGACAGGGACGCGGAGTGAAGAACATCCTTTGTGGACTTACTTTTTAGGACTATTTTCTGTCTGGATGTAAATGACAAAAATGTGTGTTCTGCAAGGGCAGAAACAACACATCAAACCCTTCTAACCTCCAAAAGAGCTTTTAGCTGCTGATTACGGTGCTCTGGGACCATGCAGCTATTAGATTCAAAGGGGCCTCAGTTCCTTTGTGGTTGCAAGCAGCACCCATGTCAGGAAGACACCTAAAAGGAAACTGAGGCACTGCAGGGATGAGAGAGGGAGGGGGCTGGGAGCAGGCTGAGGAGCCCAGCTGCCTGTGCTGGGACCCCCATGGAGCTGCATGTGCCACATATGTGGTCCACCCCCCCACCCCCATGCCTTTCCCAGGTGAGGTGATGGGTCTTCCCATTGTCCCCCGATGTGCTGGGGGGGAAGAGCTGCACCGGTCCCCATGGGTGGTGCAGGACCCAGGTCCCCAGGCTCTCCACAACCCGCGGAGCAGCACTGAAGCCCTCCTTGGTGGTGCCCAGGCTTGTGCAGGAAGGTAGAGCTGATTTTCTGCAGGGTGCAACAGGCTGCAGAGATGGAGGAAGCAGAGCAAACTCCAGGAAAGGAAGAAGTCCAGCCTTGGTAGCAGACAGAGGTAAGATTTTTAAAGTTAAATTCACCCTGCAAGAACAAGATAACAATGTGGAGCAGGCTGAAATACTCTTCAGATGATTTATGTCTTCGATTCAAGGTTAAAGGCATGGGGGCCAAGGGAGGGAATATACTGGGGAGACTGCATGAGTAAGTAACTGCTGATTGCCAGGAGCCATATGGCGGAGAGATGGGGACTGGACAGGTGAGATTAGAGAGGATACCTGCAGCCCTGCTGCTTGTAAAGGAATTGAGAGTGAATGACATGTGATGAACTGGCCTGTGGGAAGCCTTCTACTGAGCAGAGCAAACTCCTTGCCAGAGAGAGGGGGTCCTCTGAATTTGGGTGCTGGGATTAAGGCTGTCAGGAGAGGGATGTGATGCTTTCAGCTGCAGCAGCAGTGCACAGAGCGGTTCCTCACCTCCTGCTGCAGCGCAGGCTCTTGCCATGGAAAGCTCTTTGTTCGCGCACAAAAGGAGCGTGGAACAAGCTGAGCGCTGCCTGCCTGCTGACAGCAATGACGAGAACAGGTTGTTCTCAGAGAAGGGTATTTCCAAGTGAAAGGGATGTTTTTTCATTGCTCCCAACATGTGGAAATGGCAGGATAAATTATAGGGGGTGTAGCACACTTAGAAAACGCGGTGGGTGGATCGCAGCCTCCTACGTGGCTGCTTCACCACACATCAACAACCTGCTCCTGCCACCAGCTCTTGCAGCTCACGTGGGCTCTGCTTGGGCTCTGCTGCTGTGTCCCAGCTCTGGGCGCATCCCAGCTCTGGGCGCATCGGCACGCCTGGCACCCACCACGGTGCAGGCAGCCTCTGGTACAGCCCTGCACTGCAGGCCTCGCCAGGAGTAGTTTTGTTTCCTATTGATTTTTCTAATTATCTCAGGGCAAGAAATGGGTACTTTCCCCCCCGCCCCCCTCAGGCAGGGAGTAGAAAGTAATTCCAAGCAAGATATGGCACAACTGGGCTCAGTTGTGGAAGGAAGGAGCAGGTGTCCCTGAACAACAGAGGTGTCCCCGTCCTCGCAGAGGAGCCCAGGTGGAGCTGGGCTCTCAGCTGCTTTCAAAGCCCAGGCATGGGCATCCTCCCTGCACACAGGCTCAGCTGCCTGCAAACCCTTGGGACTTTGTTTCTCCATGGGACAGAGCGGGACCTGCTGCCTGCCAGTTTGGATGTTGCAACCCTAACTGTGGTGGGTGTGTGAGAGACACTCCCGAGTCCCTCGGCCAAATTATCTCATGGAAACATTCCTCTGAGTGATTGCAGCCTCCGGACACGGCTTTGCAGGAAAAGCAGACTGGCGGGCTGTGGGGTCAGCCTGCTGCCATCAGAGCACAGTCCCCAGGGCAATGCACCCAGCTTGGGGTTCTCTCCTGGAGCATCGGCCCTCTGGGACTCCACATCCGTCCCTGCATTTCTGCCCAGGTCAACTCACAGCTACCTTTAATACCAGGTCCTGCGTCCTCTGCTCCTGTTGCATTTTGGCAGAGCAAGTTCATTTCTTCCTTGATGTACGAGCAGAGCCGCTGTTTCCCATGGCAGCCTTTCTAGCAATAGCCTGAATAAATTATACCCTTCCAGCCCTGTCTCACCAGGCAGCTTTTACGTTTACCTGATTATCCTCATTATCACAGCCTAGACCTGTTCCTGGTTCAAAATCACCCTCCTGGCAGTGAGGGGCCAGGGTAGGGCGTCGCTTCTGGGTCATTCTGCTTGCCCCTTTTCCAGCGGCACTGGTGCTCGGATGGACACTATCTCTGCTGTGAAGACTTGTCAGCTTGCATTTGTTTTGCTGCAGTCATCTCAAGGTTCCCTAAAAGTCAGATATTTTTCTTATGGTGTTTTCAGCTGCTTAGAGTAGCAGTTTTTGCTGTTAGTCCCTAAGCATATAAACTCGTGCCAGCCTGTTGTGTTTCTGTTGATCTTCAGATCCTCTGGTTCTTAGTCCCTTGTCCAGTTCCAAACTTCTCCCAAGTTCCTCACCAGCACATTTTCTTAGAGAAACTCCTGTTTCCTGAGCCAAGATCGCTAATGAAAACCATTAAATAAAATTTATCTCTAGGCTGATTTTTAAGGAACTCTATTAATAGCCTTTTCTGGAACAATAATGGTCCCTCCATTGTAATGTATTATTGTCTCCCATTAGCCTCCTTACAATTCTAATAGTAATTCCTGATTTCTCCTGCCTGAGTAAATATTTTATGCTCTGTTGTAGCCCATGTTGCATTTGATTCACTGTGTTGCCACTTAAAATGGCAATTATCTCCTCTGGGAAGGGGGCTGTGATTTATCCATGGGAAATTGCTGTTGCATTTTACCCTTTTATTCCTCCTCCCCATCTTTCAGCATCCTTTCCTAAGGGGGCTGTGATTTATCCATGGGAAATTGCTGTTGCATTTTACCCTTTTATTCCTCCTCCTCATCTTTCAGCATCGTTTCCTTCAGCATCATTTATTCCAGCATTTTTTGCACTTTTGTAGCAAGACTAATAGGATGCAGTGACCACTCTAGCAGCATAGGTAATACATTTGCTGCTTTCCATTCATGTGTTCCTACTTCTGGCATAATAGCTTTGTTTAAAATCTGTTAAAAGCCTAGCTATTAGGCAGAAAGGAGCACTCAGTGAGCACCTAAATGTGGCAGCCTGTCTTTGGGAAGCGTTTCCCACTACCCGAAAGGGCACTGACAGTGATGGTTGGGGGCTTGGGAGAAGCTCCACATGAAACATTTTAGCTCTGTCCTGGGGACAGAAAAGCTCCGCTCTCAGGCAGACCTGAAATGTCACTCTGTCTCCTGGGTTAGCTTCTTTCCAAGCAAAGTGCTGGCAGAAGTCACTTAGGAGCAAAGCAAATTCCCTGGCCCTGCAGAGCCTGCAGCAGATCACAGCTTTTTCTAAAATTATGTTCGAGTGCTTCCAGAAATTAAACATCTGGGCATGCTGTGAGAAGTACTTCAGCCAAGGCTGTGAGATGGGGAGGAGGGTGGGGATTTCTTCTGGTCTGAAAGAGAATGTTTGAGGTTTGATGGTGGGGAGCAGGCAGAGCTGGGAGCTGGAGGGCCCCTCGCAAAGAGCTGTTTTGAACCTCTGCCAGAGCCATAAGCCTGACTCACAACAGGACAAGACCAAATTTGTCGGAGCTGGGGCTTGAAGGCAATGTGAGAGTGGACAAACGTGAGAGTGGTGCAGAAACTAGCTTGCCCTGCTGTCTGCGGCGGGCTTTGGTGAAGTTGTGGGATTGTTTCTAGCTTATGAGCAGCCCTTCTGGATGGGCTGTGCTTCTCCCCATGCCTCCCATGCAGAGCTGCACCCTATAGCATCCCCCAGCACGCCTCTGACCCTGTGCTCAGTGAGCCCCATTGCTGGAGCTCTTGCTCAATTGTTTCCATCTCTTCCTTGCAATCGCTTGTCTCCCCTCCGCTCCCTGGGGCAGGGCTGTTGGGTGTGCTGCTTGTGGGTGCTCACCCATCCAAGGTGCCCTGTGCCCTTGTTCGGGTGGGTAGACACAGCTCACCCTGCCATTTATAGATGCACAGACAGTTACAGTCTCATTCTTGCTAAGTCCCTTTGCAACCTCTCCGCACTGCTGGAGCTGTGGGAGGGACACTGGGGTCCTGCCTGGTTGCATCCCCAGACATTTTTGTCCCTGTGCCTTGGTCTCCTCCAGACCCTGGTGCTCTCCCTGCCTCATCCCAGCCTAAGTCCTGACTGATACACAGCGGTTACTGTTTCTGGTGTGAGCAGAGGGGCTGGGGGAGGCAGGACACAACCCATCATGCTCCCCAGGAGGAAAAGAGCTCTGTGGGTAGGAGAGAGTTTGGGACCCCTGAAAGCAGGAAACCTGAAGAGGTATGCAGAAACCAGCAGAGCAGTCAGCATTTTGAAAGTTTGCTCTGCAGAGAGTTCTTAGGAAAGGTGAAAATGAAAACAGTGATGGTAGGCTTGTGGGCGTGCTTGAAGCTGCATGAGTTCCCCCCAGAAGTTCCAGGCATCAGCCTCCTGCCAAAGCCTGTTCTGGCTGAGGGACTCTGCACCCATCCTGGGCCAGTGCTACAGCTCAGCTTGGGGGGACTCAGCCTTGGGGTACCCTGTGCCACAATGCCAACCATGACCCTGGACAGGGCAACCCCTGCTCCAGCAGATGCCCACCAAGCAGATGCCAGGGTGCAGAGGGCTGCGGTGAGGAGAAAGGGCTCGGTCAGCTTGGTCCAAGAAGTTGGGTTAGCAGCAAACCTCATGGGGAGGCTGCTTGAGCAGAGACGCTTCATACCTATAGATGTCTAGGCAGGGCAGGGCTCTGCCTCTGTGCCCTGGACATGCTCCACCTGTGTCCTCCCTTCCACCCTGATGTTCTTGGATCTGGCAGTCCCCAGCAGCAACAGCCAGCAGAAGTCCCCAAACTGGCCTCTGCTCCATGCACAGCAGGATAATGATGGCCCAATGGTCTGATGAGCAGTGCCCTCTTGCTCTGACCCGGGTGGTCTATTTTAGGGTGCTTAGCACACCCCAACCTCAGTGAGGACCCACCAACCCCTCTGAGATCTCACCTAGAAAGTGATTAACCAGCGTAACAAACAAGAAAAAAGTAAGGCAAAAACTTTACCTGGGAAAGGCACTGCTTTCTCACAGCTCCTGAGCAGGTGGGAGCCCTCGGTGTCTGCGCTGCCTCCAACTTTCCCCCGGTGTGCGTGGCTCACTTTGTGAAGGCAGAAGCGTGTGCTGCGAGCAGCGGCTGCCTCCTCTCCTCTCCTCTCCTCCCTCCCTCCCTCCTCACGTACCAATATCCAGGCAGCACGGTGACTGCAACATGAGTCAGACCACAAGTGGGTGGGATCAGAGCTGTGAACTCAGACACTGAGGTTATCATCCGGCAAATTTGAAATGCTGAAAGTGAGGCGTACTCCAGGCATGCTGTGTGTTGTGCTCCACTGAGCTGTACCAGGTACGGAGAGGGGTGTGGGATGCTTCCTGCTTCCTTGCATGCTACTGTCACCTACCTTGCTAATGTTAAGGTTTCAGGGCCCTTGCTGCTTGCTTGTCATGTGCAAAGCCTCCCTCCCAAGTGGCTTTCTGTTCAAGGCATGCACTTGCCTGCTGCTGGGAGGCCTGATGCCATCACTTGGCTTTGCAGTCAGTGTGAGCCCCCTCAGAGCAAGTACTGGAGCTGGGCTGTCTGAGATGGCTCAGAGCTGCAGAGAGGATTGAGGCTGTTGGGTTGCACTGGGGAGACATAAGGAAAAAGGGTGGCAGCTGCAAAGCAGGTGGAGGAAACTGGAGCCCAGCAATGCTGGGGTGAAAATTTGCAACTTGTGCCACTCGAGGAGGCAGGAGGAGCCCATGCTGATGTGCTGGGGGTTCTGCGCCATGGCTGGGAGAGGCTTCACGTGCTCCAAGCCAGTAGCAGGATGCTCTGGGCTGGACATCTTTCCTGCATGGCTGCACTCACCTCTGCTGAAAATCGTCCCCTGCATGTCTGATGGCAGGGAGGAACACACATCAAATGACAAACAGGCAGTGACAGCCTTTCATGTCTCTCAAATTTTTCATCTGTGGGTTTCAAAGCACTGTGTAAATATCAACTGCTGGGCCAGCTGTGCAAGGATCTGTTTCCCCTTTTAGCTCTCCCTCTCGAGCTGAGCTGGTCCCGGGCTGTCAGAGCTCCAGTGAAGCTTGGTTATGTTCCATGTGGCCTGGGGAGAGCAGCGCGGGCAGCGATGCACTGCAGGTGAGGTGCTTCAGTCCCCACAGCCACTTCTGAATCCCCCGAGCAAATAGCCAGGGACTGACTTATTACAGTCTGGATGCAGCCCTGGGCTCCCTGAGATGGAAGGAGATGGGTCCTGCCACTCCCTCACCTGGGCTGAGCCCCCCCAGTGCCCTGCACTGAGAATAGAGAGCACATCCCAGCTTCCATCTCTGCAAAACGGGGATACCAGCAGGACTGGCACACAGACCAAAATGCCTTTGATGTGTCTATCTCTGCAGACCAAAGCACAGATCTATCTTTAATAAGCTTATGATCTGCTGGAGCAGGAGAGTTTTCCTGCTGATCGGCAGCCCTGTGATGTGTCTGGGTAGCAAAGCTGTGGACTGGCTACTGGGAGCTTCTCAAGTGGCTGGTGTGTGCAGTATGTGGCTGCAGAGGGATCCCTCCTGCAAAACAAGATTCAAATCTGCTCAGGAATGTCTGCGTCAGCTAAAGTCGCTGGGGTGTTGATTTATTCCATGGCCTCTCGCTTGGCTCTGCTTTACGAGGGATATTTTGCCTGGAAGTCTCAGGATGGGAAGCACCATGTAGGGATAAAGGGCTCTAAGTTATCGGGGCAGGATTGCCTCTCCAGCCCTCTTGCCCTAACCCTTCCAAATAAAAGTTCCTTGCTGCCTGGGGAGGAGCAGACCCCCATGGGGCAGGCTCTGAGCTCAGTGCCATCTTCCCAATGCCTCTGGGGAGCTCTGAGAGTTCAAATTCTCACCTGGTTTCACCAGCCCCCACGGGCAGCCAGCACAAGAGGAATGGTTGCACCGTCCTTGCTACGCTGCCTCTCCCAGCCGCCAGGACCAGCACCCTGACCCAGCACACCCAGCAGCCAGAGACTGGGCTGGCAGCTGCAGCTGGGCTGGGCTGCCGTGCCTGTCCCCAAGCTGGATCCCTCAGTCCCAGCTCTTCAGAAGGATGCTGTGTGCAGGGTGCTGGGGGTGTGGTGGTGGAGAGGTCCCCAGCTTGCAGAGGCATCTGGGTCATGGAGAATCCCATGACTTCTGCAAACCCTCAAGCCCAGGAGATCCTCAAAATCTGATCTTGTGCATTGACTGGGTGACTATGGAGCTTCTGAGGGGCTGTATGGGCTGGTATGCTGGATCAGAGTTAGTTGGAGAACATAGCACTGGAGATGTGAGAAGTACAGCCTGCACAGACCATGCAGTGAGGTGCAGGGAAGCAGCCAGACCTAGAGCCGAAAGGAGCTGTGGAGGGGCACAGGCTGCTGTGCACTGCCCATCTGCAGAAGCAGTCTGGGAAGTGGCAGATGTAATACCTGCAGAGGCTGTGGCTGGAAAACATCAGCTGTGGCAAGCTCCAAAAAGGAAGGAGGCACTTGAGACCCATCAGACCTGACAGCTGACACGCTGTGTGTACCCAGGCAGCGCGGCCACCTCGGCCAGGCTCACCCGGTGCATGGTGCAGGCAGCAACCAGAGACACTCCTAAACTGGGATATTTCCCAAGTGGGCTGTGCTGAGCCATGAAATGAGTAATGAGTCAGGAAATGGCAAGGAGAAGTCTTCTGACATCCTCTCCATGTTTGTTTGTGTGTGTAAAGCAGCAGTTATTAAAGGCTACTGCAATGCCAGGAGCTGGGAAAGTGCAAGAGGAGCCAGGAAAAGTCTGGGACTCCAGGAAAAGTGATGCAGGATTTGGCAAACCTGGGAGCTCTTGAAAAGCCTCTGATGGTGAAGTTATGCCTGGAAGGTGGCAGCCAACCTGGGAGATCATGTATGACAGCTCAGCTCTGAGAAGGGCTCAGAAGTGCAGCTCTGCATTGCTCTCCCCAGCCTGGGCTGGGTCTGGAAAAGCCAAAGGATGAGGGAGAAGAAAAGGAGAAAATACCTAGAAAACGAAGTGTCTGGGTGTGGAGCAGTTCCTTGGGCAATACAGACTGAGAGGAGCCAGTGGGGTGTCCCATTGGGTTTCAGAGACATGTATGTGAACTCTGGCAGAAAATCCTGGGTTAGGGAGATGGGACTTATGCCGAGTTGTTTCCTCTGGAAAAATCAAAACTAAAAAGCTGTGGAAAGGTCCTGACCCTGTTACAGACTGCTGCTCTTCCTAGCTAGATGGGAAAGGCCAGTAGTTTACTCAAATCATCTGAACACTTTGGTTTTCAATGGATTATATACATGGCGAAAATAAAAGACAGAGACCTCCCTGGTATGTTAATATGCTTTTGTCTTTTTTAAACAAATACTTTCCAGTGAAATCCTGTGCTGGACAAAATGGTAAATTATGACAGAAATCTCTGATATTCCCTGCCAAGGGCTGTGTAAAGCCGAGCGTACTTGTGGGAAATAAATATTGCAAGGAAAGGACGTGTAAAACAGCTGCAGTGAGTTCAACATGGGGGGCCGGCGGCTGTGTGAGGAACACAGCCTGCAGACAAGGCAGCTCCCTGTGGCAGTGGCAGACCCTCGCTGGGCTGTGGCTGAGCTCCAGAGCAACATCCTGCTTGCATATATATTTTTGTCATGACATAAATCCTGGCTATTCCAGAAATATCTCTGTCCAAAGGCACCTTTCCTGTACTGGGACACATGTACTAGAAAAGAAAAGCATGCTCAGGCCTTTCCTACCCCCTTGGTTGCTGCAGTTCTGATCCCAGGGAGGCTTAGCAGGCTCCCATCTGCTGTGATATAGTGTCAGACTATAGACACAGCCTGTGATATATTTCTTAAGCTTCTCTTAATGCAAAGAGAGGATGTTAGAAGTTTATTTCCAGGTTGCTGGTCTATTTGTGTTATACAAAGCTCTCCAAGCTCTAATGAGAACTGGAGGGTGCTGTCTGGCTTCAAACTAGTATGGAATCATCCTTCAGGCAGTTGAAGGCTCACATATTTTCCAGTGTGTCCAGGGGCCGAGGAGGCTCCTCAATTCACTTGAACACAGCTGTTCATAAATTAAACTGTGCTAGGGAGAGCGCAGTTTGTATGACACCAATACAGGGTTTTTAATCTCTCTGACACACTGTGAAGAGAAAAATGAAAGGCTGAGGTCCATGGGAGGAGGTGACAGTCATTCACGCCCCCAGACCACAGGGCTGGGAGGGAGTGGGAGCATTGGCACAGTGTGCACCCACCCGCCGGTGTGCACGAGGCATCCCCAAGGAAGGTAGCAACCAGTTATGGGTCTGATGAGGGGGTCTTTTGTGGGCCTTAGCACTAATCCTGCCAATGCAATTGTGCATGTCCTTGTTTTCCAGATAAATATTTAATCCCTTGCCAAACACTGCTGAGATCATGTCCTGGGTGGTATCTTGTGGCAGCAGGTTAATTTGGGGCTGTGCAAGGCTGTTGCCCTCTCTGGCCGTGGAGCAGGCTGAGCTGCAGGTTTCTCTTGGTCCAGGAGCCGGGTGGGAGGATGGGATGATCTGGGCTGCAGCCCTCCTCAGACCCCTCCCAGCATTTTTGGGCCCTTGGTCTGGAAGATCAGCCAATTTCTGTGGGAATGGGCTGTCAGATTTAAACTTGGGGCCAGCGAAGTCTGGTCCGTGTAAGTGCCTGCTCTGAGGCTGTTTGGGTGGTTTAGGACCTTTCAGGGCTGGAAGCCAGCTCCTGCCCGGTCGCTTTGCAGGGAAGGATTGACTGCTTGAGTCCCAGGTGCTTCTGAAGCATTTCCCTGCAAAGCTGGCAGGAGGCTGTGCTGCTGGGCACAGGGCAGGAACAAAAGGATTAGCAAAACGCTCCCCTGCAGCGGGACCGCCATGGGGCTGGCAAGGATCATGGAGCTCGGAGCGTGGGCCTGGACTCAGGCATTGCCCAGGCAGGCTGCCGGCCGCTGCTGCCAGCTCTGACCCTGCCTGGGCCCCGTGCTGGGTCCCTGCCTGACCTGCCAGCGCGGGCAGACGGGGCACGGGGGGACCCTGCAAGGGCTGAGGGTTGCAGAGGGACCGTGAAGCCAGCGCAGTG